GCATTTGTTATGGGAGCGCAACCCGAAGACTGCTTACTCCGTGTCCTGATCGGACCTTGCATCTACCACGCAGCACAAATGCACAGACACGACAGTTTGATCGTCAATTTCGACGAGGTCCACCGTGTACTCCACAGAAGGATCCGCAGATACGCGTTGAATAGTATCCTTGCGCTGTATCTGCTACACTCTCTTTTCCCTCAACAACCTGGCCACGACCAAGGCAAGAGGACCAGAGGGCGAAGTTTCTTGGTGCAGCCAGAGGCACCCCTAAGCATACTGCCAGACTGGATTCGGATTCCACGGATTGGCAGCGTCACAGAGACCACTTAATGAAGGAGCCGATGCAACTGGACCTTCAGTCTGTCAGTTGACCCGTAAGTACGACCGTCGATCTCGACGATGGCCACCTCTGTATCGTCCTTTTCTGGTGCAGCGTTCAGCAGCAATGCAGCGCTGGGTTGTAAATCCACATCATTGCCAATGCTCCTTGAGCTGAGTGACCATGGGGTAGAGCAAGAACATATTTGAACTACTTTCCAAACGAACGACATTTCGGACGTTGCTCTCGACGATGTCCTCCACAAACCTCATCAAACCGAAGCAATGCGGTGATTCCCAGAGAATTATGGTGAAAGTAGACTTACGGAGAATCTACCCCACTCTCTCAGAACTACCACAGCGGAACCCGAGGTCAAGACAAAAGTCAAGAGGACTGAAGATGGAGGAGGGCGCAGGAGGCTGGCGCGACCAACATTCAACACACGTACCAAGAGCAAGTCTCGCTAGGCAGGCTAGGTAAGTAGGCCAGAAAAACGCTACCGGCTAGCTGATCGATCGTCTGAGGTGAGGTGGGCGTAGTGCTGAAAAGGAAGACAAGTCGAAGATTGGCATTGTAGAGCAGGTCTTTCTTTCTCTCTCACTCTGTCTCCTCTTCCTTCCTCCTTCCCTAGTACAACCTGTCCGTTGAAAACTATTCAAAGCCACATACAGGACTAACCGCGCTCTCCCACCCATCGTGGCAGTTGGCAACTTTCCAAACCACGGCTGTTAGCGTACCGCAATTGTTTCATGCGCTGGGCCGTCGACTTAACTCTCTGCATTCCCTGGCCTCAGCCGCCGTCCGAGTCGGTCAGTGGACTGGTACGAGGAGTGGGCCGATATTTATAATGGCCTCGTCTGCGCGTATACCTGCATTCTCAACGCAAGCGCCAGGCGTTCGAAACACAAAGAATCGAGTGACTCATACCTTACATGTGTGAGACTACCATAGAGGTCATGTTAAGAAGGAGCCATTGCAGCCTGACTCTCAGTTCGCCAATCCTGACAATGACATGACTGCTAGGTCTGACAGTTAGAAACCTTCCAAGCCACGACACCTACATAGACTCACCTCACGCTCTATTGTAATTAGTGAATTGAAGGAGTCTGACGTTGGCGATATTAAATCTGCTTGTCTAACTGCCTCAACACGTCTCTTCTGCAATTCGAAAAGTTTTTGCTGACAGCGGCGACGACTGAGCTGACAATCAACAAATGCTTGTTCCGCCTGCAAAGGCAAAAAACGGATTCTTAGAAGAAAAACCACACGACTGTTGCCGACTGTTACACATCGAAGTTACCTGAAAAAAAAACGCATTTGATTTATTGGTTGGAAAACGTGTGGTAAAAGAACTAACCTCAAGGACGCTAAGACTGGCCTTCCTGACGATTTCCCTTCCAGTAATCGAGTCGTATGCAAGAGAGCAACGACGAATGCACTCTTCTAATTTCGACGAAGACGTTTTTTTGAGATCCTCTAAGGACTTTTCAAGGAAATGTACATTCTTGCTGTTCTTCAGAAAGGACCGAATTGCTGCAGATGCATCATCGATGGACTTCGGGCTCGGAGGGAAGTTCAAAGCCATGCCAGACTTTACAGTCCGTGAGAGATCCTCTAAGGACTTGCCAAGCAACTGCGCATACTTCTCGTACTCGAGAAAGGATCCAATGCCTGACTGTGCACCATTTCCGCAAGAGACTGACTTCCCGGTCGATGGGGAGTTTAAAGCATTGCGAGACTTTAATATTCGTGAAAGTTTTGAGCGGGCTAGTTCAAACGCCCTCCAAA